CACCAGGGGGCTCACATTGCTTATTTAAATTACCTTCCAGCCCGGGCGCCTGGGTGGCTCAGTTGGTTAAATTACCTTCTAGCCTTTGTAGTCCTTGAAGTTTTGTTTCCTCTTCTATAAAAGAGGTGTTGCCCAATTTAACCAAACATCCAGGACGAATTCCCACCATTCTGAAATGTGTATTGAAACTACTGTTTTTGGCTTAGAAATTTCTTAGAAGTTTTGGTTTTAAAAGGAATGGGCCTGCCTTATTATGACAATAGAGATATGATTAGAACAATTTTTCCTGCCATTATCCAGTTTGTGGCTTTCAACAAAGATTTGCTGGAAATACAAGCCACAATTTCAGTGCTTTTATTGGCAAATAGAGCTGTATTGGTGAACTGATACAGTAATTGTACTTTTATAGCCCTCAGCACTCCAATTTACAATTATTTTAAATTTAATGCTTTTGATTAGGTGTTTCCAGAAATGAGAGTGCCTAAGTAATCCAAGAAACAAGGAAATGCCTTATAATGTAGGGATGATTTAAAAGCTTTCTTAAAGGTATTCAGTATCAGATACCTAGTAAAGCTAGTTCCTGGAATTGATCATCTGTAAATAAATAACTAGCAAGAAATTATAGTACTATAAATACTATAATCACCATGAATTCTTCATTGAAAGCATCTAGAATATATCAGTAAATCTTTTATGTAAGGCGAGTCTCTAGAAATACCTGAAAAAACAAACAGAGGTTTTTAAGTATCATGTGATATAAGAGCAACAATCTATCAGTGTTTCTACTGGTGGTCTTAAAGTAATAAATTCAATATTCCTTTAATAACGTTTTCCCCTTTTGTAGTGCAACAATGCCTACAATACAATAAAACTTTAGCCTTATTGCTGCTTGCTAACTTATCAACTAACAATTTATGCTGATCAAGAAGTAAGGCTAATTTATTCAGGTTTTAGACTCTTGAGATTAAAAATACTTGGCTAAATTACTTGTTGATCTGGGAAATCGATTGCATTTATGTATAAAGCTTGCTTGGGCCCTCTTTCAAGTGGGGCTAAATCTGCTTTTATAATTTGTCTACAATACTGTGTGGACTGAATCTCATTAGGACATGAAATCAGTTTGTGTATAGAGTACATGGGCTACAATTGATTTTGTAAGTACCTGAAAAACATAGCTCTCCTACAACTCAGCTCTGCAGTGAGAAGTCCGTTGGGGTGCATCTATGAGATACCCACATGACAGCAGAAAATGAAAAGTAAAGTAAATTGATTGGGGAGAATCTATGATACCAAAATTATTTTCTGGCTACTGGACTAATTGGTTATATCAAAGTAAAAACGGACATATATATATCTTATGAGTTCCTTTATATCATTGAGTTTGGGTCCATTTTAAAACAAACAGGAATTCAGGGCACCTGGGTGGCTCAGTCAGTTAAGCATCTGCCTTCACCCTGGGCTTAGGTCATGATCCCAGGGTCCTGGGATTGAGCCCCGTGTGGGGCTCTCTGCTTAGCGGGGAGCCTGCTTCTCTCTCTCCATGTGCCTGCCGCTCCCCCTGCTTGTGTGCTCTCTTTCTCTCTCTCTTTTCTTTCCCTCTCTCTCTCTGTCAAATAAATAAATAAAATTGAAAAAAAAAAAACAGGAATTCTGAAATTGAGGCTAAACATTCACATGGTACAAACTTGATCAAGCATAGAGGTTAAGAGGTACAAAGTTCTGATATTTATTTGACAATATAGTTCTTTAGTGTGAAGCTAAAACTTTAATAGAAAACTATGGTAAAAGTGGTCTTCTTTACCTTTTCCTTTAATTTTGAAAGAAACATATTTCTCCACTTACAAGTTGTAAAAAAGAGTTATAGACATTTTTTTGTAATCCTGTACTGCTTTCTTTATTCATTCATTTATTCAAAATATATCATTGAATGCCACCGACATACCAGGCATTCTCCTGGGTGCTAGGTAAGCATTAGGGAACAGGAGAACCCACAGGAAGGATTGCATTCAGGTAGGCGTCTGGAAGGAGAAGACCTAGAAATAAGTGAATTATGTAGTACGCTAGACAGTGGTAAATGCTTTACAACTGGATGAGATTGAATCATATGGGAAGCCAATGTACATATTGAGGGGAAGAGGGCAAAGACTGAGTCCTGGAGGCAGCTCCATCCCCGAGAGAAAACTTTGTGAGAAGACAGTGGAAATTAACCTTTGTCCCTTACCCCTTACACCGACTGCTGGTGAATGTCAATTTCACCTTTCTAGGTTTGACTGTAATAACAAAAAGACAAAGTCTCGCCTTTATGTTTCATAGTGGAAAAATATTTATAATGAATTATAGAAAGGGTGTAACTATCCTGTAAGCAAGATCCTAATGTACTACCACTATGTTTTAGTATAGCTCCATGCACCAAGGAGGGCTCTTTACTTTCATTTTCTAGCTGGAGCCATTCAGTCACCTGAGAATTTAGTTATATGATTTTTAAAGGAAGTCGAGAGTGAGCTATGTAGTTTGAGGAAATGGTTACTGGCCAGTGTGTCTTTGAGGTCTAAATTCGGCCTTCTTTAGGAACTAAAGGGCATTCATTGGTTGCCTTTCCTCTGATTGTGAAACATTAAGTAAATCCTTTTTTTGGACAGGATAACTGCTCAGATTTGCACTTCTGGTGCTTTCAGATACTGATGAATATTTTAAATAGCTAAAATTATTCCCTGATACAAGCATATGCTGCAGGTACAACTAAACAAGCATTCAGCCAAGTTGTATAGCTTGTAAGACAAGATATCCCCTAATAAGGGGCTCAGAGTTTTCAGAAAACTGATAAAATTTTGTCTTAGAAGTTAGTAGAATGTATGACATTACTGTTCACTATATTTTAATGGCAAAATAATAACAATGTCAGTTACTTTATCTCAACTATTTTATCTTTTTCTTGCTGAAAGCCTCTAATGGAATTACTGTCTTTTTAGCTAACCAACTTATAGAGAATGTGGGGAGTGGTTTCAGTATTTACGAAATGTTCATTTTTTCTCATAGGATAGAGGCTACTGATTTTTTTCTATAAATGACAGAATTTATTAGTTGATGATTGAACTTGTTGCATTTTCATTTTAACTTTCAAAATGGTAAAGAACATGACAGACATGTATTCAAAGTAAAACCTGAAACATCACTTGAAAACATGAAGTTCAAATCTTCATTATAGAATAAAACAGCCTCTGGAGAATGAAGAAAAGCTGCAGTTCCTGTCAACATAATTAGGAAGACCTAAAAGAGATTTCCTGGGATCATTTTTATGTTTTTTTTTTTTTTAAGATTTTATTTATTTATTTGAGAGAGAGAGAATGAGAGACAGAGAGCACGAGAGGGAAGAGGGCAGAGGGAGAAGCAGACCCCCTGCCGAGCAGGGAGCCCGATGCGGGACTCGATCCCGGGACTCCAGGATCATGACCTGAGCCGAAGGCAGTCGCTTAACCAACTGAGCCACCCAGGCGCCCCATTTTTATGTTTTTAATAAGAGTTCTTAACCAAAAAAATATGAGGAAATTTATATTAATGGTATTCAAAAAATTGGTAGATTCATGTATCTCATATTTACTCATGAGTAGAATGGTGTTTTAAGTTTACGGAGCTGACACTTCTCTGAAAAACATGAACCTGGATTTCTTTGGTCTAGAAAGCACCAACTCTCTCTCAACACTAAACAAGACATAGAAGGCAATGTGAATAGCCTCCAGCTATTATATTTTTTGGAGTTACATTAGCTTTAAGTTCACTTACCATTTAGGGAGAAAATTTGGTTCAGGGAATGGACTAGAAATCTTAAAAGGCTGAACTCTTAGATTTTGATCTCAGTTCACAGTAGCCATAGGCAACTTGCCTCTGTACAGAAGCAATTGAGAACGTAAATGTTGTTAAAGTATCTTGAGCCGATTGAATAAAATAAAATCTTATAAAGATATATGCCAGGGGGGGCGCCTGGGTGGCTCAGTTGGTTGGGCGACTGCCTTCGGCTCAGGTCATGATCCTGGAGTCCCAGGATCGGGTCCCGCATCGGGCTCCCTGCTCGGCGGGGAGTCTGCTTCTCCCTCTGACCCTCCTCCCTCTCATGCTCTCTGTCTCTCATTCTCTCTCTTGCAAATAAATAAATAAAAATCTTAAAAAAAAAAAAAGATATATGCCAGGGTATTACTGATAAAGCAATATGCTTTTTCAGGACAGCCATTATTATTAAACAGCTGGTGGATTAATATAAATCTACACAACAGGCTTTAATCTGTCACATGGTCATCCCTAAGCATAGTGGTGCATAAAGTAAAGCTTTACTTTGGTCAAAATATCCTAAAAAGTTTTCCATGGCATCTGAATCCCAGCTTCCCACTTTCCTTCCCAATGAGAAATCATAATGGTTACTGGGGTGGAAGGCTTAGATGACATCCAGTTGGGTCCAAAGCCTCCAAAGGCTGGTGCGAAGTGTTGTTTGCAGACCCCTAAACAAAAGCAGAGATTATGAAGCAGGTTCAGTGTCTAACTCCTTTACAATTGGGTCCTGTTGGGTTTTTTGCATTGACAGCCTCTTAGTCATTATGATCCCAATCCAACCATTTTTCACAATGATATTCCATATCCCATTTTCATCGCTACATGAAATGTAGTATTGAAAGGGCCAGACATCTTTCACAAAGCATAACAGGACATTGATAACTGTGCAGATTGACCTCCAACCCAATCTCAGGCCTTACTTCTTACTTTATGTTCTTTTTTTTTCTGGACCAGCAGGCTTTCCCTCATCAGGCTGATGATGGCTCACTTCACACATACCACTCAAGACTTCTGTGCAGTATAAAATAGAAGATCAAAAGCAGGTAGGAGAAAAAGAATAATGGAATGAAAAGAAAACTGAAAGAGATGTAGTTGGAAGGAAACAAAGGTCTATAAAAGATGAGCTCAAGTTTCATGTTGGTGATGATTAGTCTTGCAAAACCTTCTGAGACTGTGGAAGCATTTGCTTGTCGAAAATCCAGGTTTTTTTTTCTCCCTTTCTCTTTTTTAAAAGGCTTTTCATAATGAGCAACTCTTCTTGCATTTGAAGGGTTGAATCTTTTCTGAAAAAGTTTGGTAAGGCCAGGCATTTGAACACTCAATCATATGCAGCAGAACCAGGCACATGGAGGACAGCTGACTCCACAGAACCAGGGACTTGGGTAAGTGCCCAGCACTGAAGTCACCTAATGTGACTGCAAATGCTATGTTTTTAGTAAGCATGGAAAACGCGTTTTAATTTAATACTTTTTTTTAATGTCATAAGGCAATCTCCAGTAAAATTCTTCTGGTAGTATGGTTTCAGTGATGGGTAAGGGTTGGGCTGGGGAGTATCTTAATATCACAGAAGGAAATGAAAAACATCTTCCCATATTTGAGTGCAGAAGGTATAAAGAAAATTTTACTATGTGAGCTGCAGTCTCATCCCAAACACTTGGATTGGATTTGGAGAAAGGACTTACTCTTTTGGCAGCTTCTTCAATTTTGAAGTTAGAGCCTGAGGTAAAAAATTGTACATGCTTTTTGCAATGCCATTGTATTTGAGCCCGGAGTTCCATCCACAGTGCACTCCCAGTGGGCTATATCTAGCCCACTGCTCTCCCATTAATGAGATATCTCTTCAGGATTCCATCTTACCAGAAAATATGCTTGAATATGAGTGGCATCATCTCTAATTACAAAGATGATATGATAATTGAAAATAATTATGGTTTGATTTTCTTTTAAATGAAAATAATTTTAATAATGAGTCTAGTATCATTAGAATTGACATGGAATCTCATGTAACCTGGGAGGAAACATGGTGATTCCCATTTCTTGGGTGACTTCTAACTCTCCTTCCATTCCAAGATTGCTTTTGATAAAACCAGTTGTTTTTGGTGTTAAGGAGAAGACTCACTTCTTAGGTTCATGTATTTGAAATAATAATCCTTTTGGTTCTCAGGAATATGACGTTATTTGTTTTGCTACAGTGAACTGGCTTCTTACAATTCATTTTAGGGGCCGAAGAAATTGTCAGTTTAAATAACTTTGGTAGCAACAGCAAAGGGGTTAAATTTAGTTAAAAACCTAATATTTCTTTTAATACATAATAGAATATTTCTTTATTATTTCATTTTTTAGTTACTAGCTTTATCTGATAAGACACATATCAGAGCTATTATTTATTTATTTATTTTTAAAGATTTTATTTATTTATTTGAGAGAGAGAATTAGAGACAGAGAGCATGAGAGGGAAGAGGGCAGAGGGAGAAGCAGACCCCCTGCCGAGCAGGGAGCCCGATGCGGGACTCGATCCCGGGACTCCAGGATCATGACCTGAGCCGAAGGCAGTCGCTCAACCAACTGAGCCACCCAGGCGCCCCAGAGCTATTATTTGAACATTCCTGATAGTTATACATTTTTTAATGTACCTAAGTGATTTTTTATTTTTCTTTACAGACTATTATAATACTTGGTTAAATATAAAAATCTATAAATATGCTGTATGTACTTTCATTTTAGAGATTTTCAGCAATGTCCTCAAAATAAAATATAATAATTGTTATTGTTAATAGCCACATAACAAGATCATACTAGATATTGCAACAAATTCCACATTCCCTTCAAGACATTTAAAGCTTTTCCCCCTTTTTAAGAAGGCCTATGATAATGATCCAGAGGATAAACAACAACAACGACAACAACAAAATCAGACTTTTCTGCTAGGAAATCTTATTTTAAAGGTAACTTTTGAACCATAAGCAGATGCTCAGACTATAATCTATTTAGTTATGTCATCAAACAGTGAATTACTGAAGATTTATGTTTTTGTAGCTTTTTCAATAGCTTGGATAGCATTAAGATCATTAGTGGAGGATGATAATCTTTTGTATCATTTAAATACCTATTAGCAATGTTTGCTTGCAAGGAATTCAATTTTTTGGTTAATTTACCAAATTTGTGCTTTTTTTTCCTTCTGTATTTAAGCTGGAATGTAAACTGGGTCAAGACTATAAATTAAGCTTGATCTGGTTTGCTGTGTTTTGTTTTCATTACAAAACGGTGTAATTAGAAACCAGGCATACGACTTTACCAAGACATGATAAAATAAACATCAGTCTGAGTTTCATAGATTCAGAGTCATTGCTGATTGTTACTAGGTATCTAAGTTGATTTTGAGTGGGGAATTATAGGAATTCCAAACTCAAGATTTCAATGATGTGATGAAGATCATCTCAAAAAAGTAAATGATTGATTTGACCAGTTCAATAATACTTTTCAAAATATTGGATGAACATCATGGTACGTATTTTATTACTAATGACCAATGTTTCAGATGGGCTGAAAGAAATCTAAGAGTATATTGTGTCCTGCCCCCAGATTTATGTATTATTTTATGTAGAGTCGTATACTAATTGTTTAAAGTGGGGTTGGCCAACTTTTCTGTAAAGGTCCATTAAGTAAATGTTTTTAGTCTTTGTAGGTCTTTGTCATATTACTTAAAGCTGTCATTGTAGCTCAAAAGCAGCCATAGAAATATGTACACAAATGAGTGTAGCTGTGTTCCAATAACATTTCATTTATAGACACTGAAATATGAATTTCATATAATTTTCCCTTTTCATGAAATGTTATTTTTTTTTTTAACTGTTTTCAACCATTAAAAAATGTGAAAACTGCCTTTGCTCATGGGGAATACAAAAACAGGTGATGGGTAGGATTAAGCCTGCAGGCCAGAGTTCACTGACCCCTAGTTTGTTTGTTTGTTTGTTTGTTTGTTTGTTTGTTTGTTTATTTATTTGAGAGAGAGAGAGAGAGAAACAGCATGAGGGGGGAGAGGGTCAGAGGGAGAAGCAGGCTCCCCGCGGAGCCGGGAGCCCGATGTGGGACTCGATCCCAGGACTTCAGGACCATGACCTGAGCCGAAGGCAGTCGCTTAACCAACTGAGCCACCCAGGCACCCCATTGACCCCTAGTTTAAAATATTAGTTTTCTAGAACTCATAATAAGATATACTGGTACATGAAAAAATATAAAAAAAAAATTACGTCTGGATTTTTATTGATTTTTAAAACACAACAAGAACATTTAGGAAATATTATAGTGCCAAACTTTGAAGAAAAATAAAAAGCTGCTAAGCCTTAAGAACAGCAAATTTAAAGTTAGATTAATATGACAGTTTTGTTATTTCTATTGCTATATATGCAAAAGATCCAGATGCTAAATATAAAAGGTATTTTTTAGTTTGTTAAAAGGTAGTTGAGGTTAAATGAAAATATCAGTGGCTTCGTTTATAAAGTTCAGATTCTCTGTAAAATGAAGTTAACTTGAAATTTTCACTAAGACTATAGTCATTTAATATGAAACTGCATCACTAGGAAGAGTAAGAAAAAATGAAGACCACTTAGTGTCCTATGTTAGAATTTAAAGTATATTTGCTCAAATATGCTTAACTAATAAATAACCAGAGCTCATATAACTATACTGTCTCTCAGTTGAACACACCATCATTAAACCACTGAACATAAACCTTCTGTAAATTACATGAACTGTACTTTCAAATTAAACCATTTTTTAGTTAAGATATAATTTGAAATTGGAAAGAACTTACGGCTTTCTATTTCAGATGTAATTTATCATAATTTGGATATAAGAAGTTAAAATAATTGAATAATAAAAAATACTAATCTTTTAAGATTTAAAATCATTACCATAGAATATATACATTTTAAAAACTTATGTGCATTTGTGTATAATGTGCATTTGTGCTCATATATTTGAATTCTGGCACAGCAATTCTATTTAGAAACCTATTTTGAATAAGTATTTAAAATTAAAGTAATATACTTCTGGTTTCTAAAAATTCCTTGTTTTGTCATTTCTATCATAGAAATGTGTGCCATCAATATTAATGGAATGAGAAGGAGACTTAGCAAGGGATTGTATTAAGTTTGATGCTTTTTAGTTTATAAAAGTTGAAAAAATTATTTACAAGGCATAAAAAGTGCTACCTGAACATTTTTCTAAGAAGTGAAGCAATTACTTAAAGCTATTTAGAGAACATAAAAAGTATAAACATTCTTTAAAACCTGAATCAATTAACTAATTCAAGCAATTTTTAATCCAAGAGTTTTATATACATAGAGATGTAATCTTAGACCTCAATCTCATTTTCTTTTGTATTAAAATCATATAAAAATCAACATAGATTACTTCTAGTGATGGGTGGGTTGATTTAAGGATTTTAATTTAATTAATGTTTCGTTGAAATTGAAAAATTTAATTTCATTAGTGATAGAATCTTTAAAAAGTAAAGCATTATCCTGATCAGGACTAGAAGTTAATATACTTGATTTTCTACATTTTGGTAGTATGGCATTTTCCCTTTTATAACAAGATAATAATTAATTTAACAAACATTTCTTAAGAATCTGTAGTGAATCTGGCACTTTGCTAGATCCTAAATACAAAGGTGAACATAATACTCTTGCTTTTATGAAGTTTACAGATTTATTAGGGGAAAACAAAGATGTACATATAAATCATCTGGGGTGATTTTGAACCCCCTCTCCCACCAGACATGTGGCAGAGTTTGGAGATATTTTTGGGTGTCATGACTTGAGTGGGAGTCCTCCTGGCATTTGGTGAAGCCAAGGATACTGTTGCATCTGCTACAATAGTGTTACAACATCCTGTAACACTTATCTAGTCTAAAATGTCAATAGTGCTGAGCAGATAAAACTTGATCTCAATGTAGCACATTTTTAGAACTGCTATTGTAGAATGGTGCAATTCCAGTGGAAGTAGAATAGGAAGTGGTCAATTCTACAAGCAGGAAGTGTTGTTTTGATAAAGGAATATCTGAAAGAAGAGCTATGTGTGAGCTGACTCTTGAAGGGCTGAATGGAGAGATGTTCCTGATAAGAGGGGGTGGAGTTGGGAAGAGGAACTTTCCAGACTGAGGCAGCAAAATGAGCAAAGGAATGAATGTGTGAAATAACTTCTCATCTTTGGGAATATAAGGGTAGAATGGGTAGAATGGGCATGGGAGTAGAGAGATTTGAGGTTGGGTGGGTAAGTAGGAATCTTATCTCAGGAAATTTTTCTTTCTTTTGTTTTGTTCGGCTACATCATAGAATTGAGTTTTCCTCTGAATGGTGTTGAAGATGATGAAGGGTTT